TGCTCAAAGCAGTGCTTTACATGCAATAACTCACTTGGTCCAGAAGAAAACACTCAATAAATCTGGTTACAACGTTATGAATGTTGTCAGGTCTGGGTGGTTCGGCTCATGAAGGGCCTGGGATGTTATGTGAAAGAGTTGGGACTTAGCATGGCGTGAGATACTGCTGGATTACTCTAGATCAGTGATGGCGAACCTATGACATGCGTGTCAGAGGTGACACGTGAACTCATTTTTTTTTTTGGTTGATTTTTCTTTGTTAAATGGCATTTAAATATATAAAATAAATATCAAAAAATATAAGTCTTTGTTTTACTATGGTTGCAAATATCAAAAAATTTCTATATGTGACATGGCACCAGAGTTAAGTTAGGGTTTTTCAAAATGCTGACACGCCGAGCTCAGAAGGTTCGCCATCACTGCTCTAGATGCTTTCAGAAACATTTAAGTTTAAATATGTGGGTTAAAATTTCAGAGTAAACTGTATAACTGAACTGCCGATATGGTAGCCTTTAGCCACATGTGGCTATTTTTACATGTAAATGAGTAAAAATTAAATAAAATGAAAATTCAGTTCCTTAATCCCATTAGTCACCTTTTATGTGCTCAAGATCCACATGTGCGGGTGACTACCAAAGACCATCTCTCTCCCCGTGCAAGCCTTCAAAGGCTTCCACCCACTGACAGTGAAATTCATCATTGTCCTCATGACCTACACAGCTCCACATGCATGATCTACCCCTGTCTGCTTCTCCTACCTCATCATCTCTCTCACTCACTTGCTGGGCTCCAGCCACGCTGGCCTCCTTGCTGAATAGCACAGTGATTAAAAGCCTGCACTCTCTAGCTACATCAGCTCTGCTGCTTACTTGCTGTGTGACTCTAAGAGAGTTTCTTAACTTCTCTGTGCCTTGGAGGATGATGCTAATAATAATATGTTATAGGGTTGTTGTAAATGAGGAATAAGTGAGTGAATACATATAAAGCTCCTAAAACAGGGTCTGGTGCTTGGTAAGTGCCATATAAGCACTAGCTATTAATATTAATAGTTATTGTTCAAACATACCAAAAATTGTCGTGCCCCAGGGCCTTGGTTCTTGCTGTTCCCTCTGTCTAAAATGTCTTTCACCCAGGCTTTATATGACTTTTACCCTCACTTCATTCAGATCTCTGTTCAAATTTTCCCTCTACAGAGAGGCCTTAGCTGACTACCCTATTTAAAATAGAAGTCCTCGCCGAAACCGGTTTGGCTCAGTGGATAGAGCGTCGGCCTGCGGACTGCAAGGTCCCAGGTTCGATTCTGGTCAAGGGCATGTACCTGGGTTGCGGGCACATCCCCAGTGGGAGATGTGTAGGAGGCAGCTGATCGATGTTTCTCTCCCATCGATGTTTCTAACTATCTATCTCTCTCCCTTCCTCTCTGTAGAAAATCAATAAAATATATTTAAAAAAAAAATAAAATAGAAGTCCTCCATCACTCTCAGTCCCCCTCCCCTGCTTCTTTACATGATACCTATCGCCACCTGAAGTTATAGCACAGATTTATTTGTTCATCATCTGCCTTTTTCTACTATTGCCAGACCTAAGAATACAGCTTGGTGTGTTGTAGGTGCCAGATAAATAAGCTTTGAATGAATGGTTGAATGGATGGGTGTTGTAGGTGCCAGATAAATAAGTTTTGAATGAATGGTTGAATGGATGGGTGGGTGGGTGGATACATAAGGGATGGAATACACATATGGCTGGATGAATGGATATATTTGTGAATAGATGGATTAATAAATGAATGGATGTTTGGGTGAATTAAGGGGTATGTGAATGGATAAATGAATGGATGAATATGTGGTGGATAGAGTAGATGGATAAATGGAAGAGTGTATAATGAAGGGATGGGTTGATTGATCAATAAATAGATGTGTGAATGGATGAAAGAAGGAGTGGATGAGTGGATAGATGGTTCAATAAATGGATAGCTAGGTGAATGGATAGAGTAGTTGAAGAAGGGGTGGGTGGATGAAGGAAGGAGTGGATAGATG